TAAGTCACAAATTCCTTGAATGAACATTTACAGTCATCGAATTTAGCACTTGCCCGGTGGCCCATGGCCAGTGAAAAATAGTTCAGGCCAGTGAAAATTTTAAGAAAATTTAGTTAAATATATAGTAGAATAAATTCAAAACTGGAATTCGGGCTAGTAAATTCAAAATCTTAAATTCATTGACTGCATTTATAAAACTTGTTAACATAATGGAATTTAAAAAATGCACAAATTACTGTGTTCTTCTGTAACACAGTTCTTTTACATACTTTGTAGAATAACTTCAAAACTTAAACTAACACATGATGAAATAAGAGCCACCTTGAAGGTCAAGGTCATTTATGGATGAAGGTCAAGGTTTTTCTTGGTCTACTAAAAAGTGTACCAAGGATTGTTGTGGCCAAGTATGAAGACAATACACTTAGAACTTAAAAAGTTTTGATCAAGTTTGAGAAGGCAATGCTGGCATGAGTGTAACAATACTTCTACTTTTTTTTCAAAATAAGTCGATTTAATTATTAAGCTATCAGTTTATTGCTTCTCAGCCCTTTTTGCATATTTTCAAACTTCTTGATAAACTCCTCCTTCGTGATCCCTGTCTTCAAGAGAACCAACCTCTCCAGCGTTTGCAACTTTTCTAAATTTAATGCCGGTCTCGGGGTACCTGTGCACTTAACATTTTTTTTCCCAGTCCTGGAGCAATTTTTGAGTTCGTCATGTGTTAACACGTGTTTGGCCAAAATAGGTAAAACGTCTTGGGTACTAAAGTGTAACATTAAATTGAATGCTTTCTCATATTCTGTTTTGTACTGCTTTTCTGCCTGTTCCAAGACAGTGACACCTTCAAGTTTTCTGTTATTTCTTTTCAGCCCTTTATACTCTTTTTCTAAGCTGGACAGCACAAAAAATAAACCAATATAGTAAATATAAGTACATTACTGTAACCACTATGCCTTATACATGTTACAGCTTTGGTAGATACATGTATTATGATAGTCTACCAGACGGTGACAACACTGTTGAACGACTGGATAATGGATATAGGCTCATTACACTGAAAATGAGATGGGTTTCTGGATGAAGTGGCCTCATCAGACAGACTACTGGACAACGGTAATCAACCAGACGGCTCAATAAACCGAAGCTGACCAGCTCCTAAAAAAACACAAACTTCATTTTATTTTATTCATGTTGCAAAAATATTCCAGTACACAAATTTAACAGAAAATATTTTTACAATAAAAATTATTACTTTGGTGCAAGAAATTGGCAATTTGCCAAAATTTATACAAGTCAATTTGAATAAAAGCTTCCCAACCAATGATACCAAGTTTGATTTCCTATGTCTTCCGATAAAAAAATACAAGAATAAGGCTACCAATACAAGGGACTAATTTGAAGCCAATCATCCAAGTAAACCTAAAATGCTACCATCGGACTTATACTAGTACAAGATTACAATAGAACATTAAATTACTTACCAGCCACTTTTGCCAACTGCTGTTTTTCACATCAGTGTATTGGTACTTTGGAGGAAGTTTTGCTTGAGCATTCAGGTACTTTCTGCTGGCTGTAAATGAAATTGTTACACAGCTTATTTGATATACATTTGCAAAACTTTTCTAAATAATTAAGAAAGTCTCTTGAATTTGGTGAAAGTAATATAAGAGTTAAACATTTTTATTGAGATAAAATGTTCTTGTTTATGTCTGTTAGCAACACAGTGATTTAGAAGACCTTGATTATCATTGAGTTGTTGAAAGTATTTTTTTGTCTATCGTGATGGTTCCATTTTTTAAAATTCCTTGGTACATTTAATCGGCACCAAATTGTCATTGAATACTGTCCCGTTAAACCAGGGGAGAATAACTATGACAGTATACTTTGATTTTGACATAAGATGAATGTCTTACATTTAGTATCTTCTTGAATTAATGACGTCAATATAAGTTAAATTGTGAGGTACCATGCATTCATATTTTTGTCACTGCTGTAACAGAAACATTTTTCCAGTAATTAAAATGTGACTTATGTAAACAAGATGTAAATGACATTATTATTTAAGCGCGGTCTAGTCAGATAATAATCAAATCTGCATAATAGCTTTCAGACGATATTTTATCTTACGATAAAATAAAATGGAATTCAACAAAAGTTTGGTAAAATAACGAAGTACTATGTCTCTGCTGTAACAGAAGCGTATTTCTTGTAACAGTACCTGTCAGTCATGTAACAGCACATAAAAATAAAATGTAGTTATTATGTTACTTAGGTCTTTTTCAGATGGTAATGAAGTGACAGTTGATCTTTAAAGGCAAAATAAAATTACATAAAATGCGTTTATTTATAATTATATAAACTCCAATACTCTAAATATTTACGTTTTAAAAATCCAAATGTATTTAACAGTCCATGACTTCTAATCCAGTAACCTCTCTGGCGTGGGTTCGATCCCCGGGAGATGCTTTGGTAGTTTAGCACGGAGGAAGGTTGTCTAGTACTGGTGCAACTCTCCAGGAACGATAATTAGGAAACTACCCTCCTATATGACTGAAATACTATTGGGAAAAGGCGTAAAATAAAACAAACAAACAAACAATCATCTACAATTTATATTTTGTACCTTTTTAATATGATTTAATTGTTCTTTGAAAAGAATAATACCAAGCCTGTTGAATGATACATGTTTATGATTTGTAGACACAGTATCCTCCTTCTATTTGTTAAATATACAAGTGTTACAGGAGTGACATGAAAGAAGTAGTCAGGTCATAGTCATTGCTCTTCTGACAAAATAAGGACATTTTAAGCTTGAAAAATTATTATTTCATTGGAGAATATCGCTTATCACACCACAAAAAGATTTCATCCCTCGTAGAACATCTAAAAGTCAAAGATATTCAAACTGACAATGTTACAAAAATATAGAATGACTCTTATATTGTTACGCGAAAGATCATAATATAAAAATATGAAAACTATATCACAACAAGCTATAAAATTTCGAGCTTCACTGCCAAATTATAAATTATTGATATTGATATTTGTACCAATCAAAGCAAATAGTATGTTCCTGTTCGACGCCGCATTACATTAATTGTGTTCATGCGCAATAAAACCAAACGGATCATAAACTATCTTCTAAGTTACATGTATTTTCATCTGATGTATATCGCAATTATCACTTTACCCTAAGCAAATTGTTCATTTGTGATATAATAAAAAGTCGGTTTATAATGCATAGCAACGTGTCATATTTTAAAGCAGTCTGTAGCAAAACAATGACACAAATGTTTGGTATTGATATCTTTGCTCATAGTTTAATTATTTATAAAATACTTATTTATGTGTTCCAACAAACTGCGTAATGTTTAGTTCCCTGATTTATTACATTCAATGTAAAACAATTCAGAATCAGAAATATATGCTTAACAAAAGCATGTACATAAATAATTCTTTTGGTTATGTTATATAATTAGGCTTTCCTCTCGGTTTTCAATAGGATCTAAAACATTAAAAACTAATGTTTGCATGAATACCATTGATATCAGTACTAGTTCTGAATAAAGTTCCACAAAAACATAAGGAATTTTTAGCTTTAATGTCCATTTTTGTTCAGTCAAAAAAAAATCCATTAATAATCTAGAGATCAATGATTCGATCCTTGGGTGAGCAATCGCAACTTTTCGGCCCTTTCCGTCAGTCTTCGGATAAAGACCTCGAACACAATTGTTAGCATACACAGAACGAATACGGTATTTTGGTCTAATCTACGCTAAGAAACTTAATATGTAAACAAATAGTAACTTAATGCTGGAAGTTGTTGACAAATTTTCCCCCAATATATCACGTAAAAGTCCAATTCATAGATATAATAGTAAACAGAATATTATTCATACTTATTATTATGGTTGTCGAAATCGAAAGTACAAAATGCCAACCCGTTGACATTAAGTCTGTTTTTATCATTGTACAACAGTGGATATGTTTAAATAAAAAATAATTGTCCGACATATTTTATAATTATAATTGTTCAGACTTTATTTTCCTACGGATGTCAAATATTTACATTCGTTTTACATTATCGAAGATTACACTCTCTGTTTCTGGTAACATGTGAAACTATGTGGTAGAACTACATTCACTCCGTATTAACTCCAACGTTATTATAAATAATAGCCGAGGAATGTCCGATTGTTGGATGAGGGACAATTCACATGACAACTGATTTCACATATACTATGTGGGACTGATAAGTTGTCAGTCACATGTGGAGAAATGGTGAAAGGAAAGTCAGTTAGGACGCCAAAGTTCGTCAACATCGGCTTAAAATCAGAATCCTTACCGATCCGTTAATGATAAAGTTCTGACAAAAATCCCTAGTGAATGGGAAAATAAATGTTAAATTGCCTGTCATATGACATCTGACTGTTGATTGCGAAGAACTGTTGTTGTATTGTTCAGATTATATTGACAACACCTTAAAAACCCATCAAAATTGAACTAGAGATACTATTTCTTTTATATTTCTGTCGTACATATATATGCATTATTTATAACTATTCCTTGTATTGTTGATGATATATCAACTTTTGAAAAAAATGTGTCCTACTGTTATTATATAACAGCCATTAGATACAAGAATGTATTTGTAACTGATTTGTAATTGATTTGTTTTTCAAACAATTGAGTGTTTTAATTAAATCTGATTGTTTCAGTTCTCGTCCTATGGACGTCTTAATTCTAATCAAAAACAGTATGTGCATCAGTCATAAATATTAAGGACAAAGAGTGATCTTTATTGATGAACTTTAGTGCTAGACGAATAGGGAAAATGGCTATCACAATAAGCAAAACCAAAGTTTTCATTTAAAGCTTTTAGCCGCTAAAGATATTTATGTTTTGAAAAATCTCTTATTAACATTTATCTGTATTTTATGGGTAGAATTATTTGTGAATAAGCGGATTTTCAAACATAGCTATTTGAAAAATAAAATATTAATATGAAAACCAATTAATATGAAACACGTGTTAAACCATTCTGCAAAGATCAATAATAAATACATGCGCTTTATGTTTTCTCTAGAAACGGGTAGCCTCCTTTGCTATAACTTGCATTTATTCAAACCATAGCGACGTGACTGTTCAGTGTGTTCAAATACGATCTCCGTTATACAGTTGGTCTGGTCAGTGTTTATCAGTTGAATACAATGGCGATAGCTGCTGGATTTGTAATTATAAACGCTCTTTTAATCGGACCAGTTGATTCAAGCACGTGTGAACAATTTAAGCCCGGCAAGGACAATTTTAATAAAGCTTTGATTGGTCACTCGGTGTTGACAATGAATAATACAAATCATCATGACTGTGCGCGAGATTGTATGTCAATGTCAGTATGTAAATCAATTGACTTTGACAGAAAGGAGAATAGGTGTAAGTTGAACGATGTTGACCGCTCGTCCGTTGATCCAGCCGAGTTTGAAACTAAAAGCGGTTCTATATTCTCTGACATAAAGGAATGGCCAGGCGTAAGTATTGTTACAATTTATAAAACTAGACACATGGTAAGGTAAATCTGACACAAACACAAGATTTATATACAAATGTGAAAGATATATTTAAGTTAAATAGAAAGATAAAGTTTGCGCATCTTTGGATAAAAATATTTTTATTGCAGAAATTTATTGAATTGAAGGAAGTTCATACTGAAAATGAAATTGATTGAGCAAATTGCATGCTTTATTTGGAGTGCTGTTATCCATTTTAATGGTCATGTTAATTTGACTCCTTTCTTATTTTTTTTAAAATGATACTATGTTTTTCGTCCTGTGTTTACCTAAAGTTTGTAAAATTAAAAAGAAAATATCTTCTCTTTGTGAATTTCAAAGATATTTATTTTAACAGTTAAGAAATAAGCAGTATTTTCAATCAAATCAAATTTGAGCATAATATATATCTCTGACTTTATATAATATATGACCTTTTTTATGTGTGAAATCAGTTTTTGAATTTCAAATGTTTGTTTCGAGAGATCATTTTTAGATTTAACCATCTCTATACATGTATAAAATTTCAACAAAGTAAAAAACAATATGTGCTCCAATTTTCCCTCTCTTTTCGTTACAGAAAATGGTTGGAAGTTGTAGTTCAAGACCATGTAAAGTAAACCAAAGATGTCATCAAACTGGTGCTTCTCATGTGTGCAGAAATATAAGTACGTTGAACTATTTAAACTGAAAATTATTACCAGTTTCAATTCATTTTATATAATTTTTTACAGGCTTTAAATATGTGAAAAATGACAATTAATTTCCGACCATGTTTGATTTATAGTTGTCACTTCCTAAAATCCTAAAACCTCGAACAAAATATTAAATAATGTTAACTATTCTAAATGATACTTTTAGAATACGCGAAATTATAACAAGGCCGAATATGTATGCATAAAATAACCCTAAAATAATACGACAAATGACGATAAAAAATAAACAGAATATAATACGCAACATATAACGAACATGTGATTGTCAAATTTAGTTTACAGCAATTTTTATTTTTTTATTTTTAGCTTGTGATATTGTTCAGAACGACATTGACAATGGAATAATTAAGACGTACGCGTCTGGCAGAAACAGGTTCCTAGATAAAGCTTTAGTTAAATGTGACATTGGGTATATTGCAAGTCAACAGGAGGTGAAATGTGAAGCTTCGGGGAAATGGCAAAATGCAAAGTGCCAATGTAACGTAACATAATGTTTTTTTAATCATTATCATGTTAGGTAAATCTACTGGTACATGTGAGTATGTCACTAGAAGGTGACTCTCTTGTATGCATAATACCTGCTTAAAAAGATAGGTGACTTTTAAATGAGATATGGCACAAATGACTAGGTACAGTGTTTTTCTGGATTGTCTTTTGATAATTATATGATAAATGCTAGTTTTTTTTTATTGATAACATATTTCAAAAAGTTGGTCTAAAAATGGTTATGTTTGAAAACAAGCACATTTAATAAGACACTGTAATAACGTAAAAAACATCATACTTGTTTAGATTAAAAGATTTTTGAAGATATAGGAAAGCTTAAAGGAAAGCTTGTTAGTTAAAGATCCTGTAACACATTTTTTATGGTTTATATCATAAATATGATGTCCAAATTAAGATTCGTCAATTTTGTAAGTTCCAAAAAAGCATTATTAATAAAGATATTACCGATTTAACATTTCATGTAAATAAAAGGAGGTAATAAAAATTGATTTTCTATCAAGTCTAAGTCAAAGTTTTTCAATAAGAAATGAATGCATATATTTTAATGATTACATATAATATGTACAAATATTTGCAATACATATTTTACATATTCTTTTTTCATGTTGGAAAATTGTTTTATAAGCATAATTATATACATATATATAATTTCACTAAAGTGTGGTACACAACCTCAATTACAACATACAGGATCTTTAACTACGATTACAAACAGTTGCTGTTAGCGATGTATAGATAATTAAAAGCCGATCAGCCAATTCTTGTAAGCAAATAAGCAAAATAAAATTCTTTGAAGCATTTCTTCGTACTTCATCACACAGAAATGCAATTCAATTAATGTAAACATCTGAATGTTTATAAAAGAGTTTGAACTATAGCGTAAAATGTTTGTTCACATTAATCTTATGCTAGAACTTTTTATTAATGAATATATCTGATAAATTAAAAGTCAACTTTATCATTAACCTGATGCAGTTGTGTAATGGGTTTTGTCCTGACAATCCATTTTATATCGAATTGAATTCTATTTTCTTTATTTCATATATTTTTTGCCTAGCTTTAAGTGATTGCAAAGAAATCCTTGATAAATTTCCTGAGGCGGAAAGTGGTCAATATGAGATAACACTATGGAACTCCGGGGAGACTCTGACTGTGAATTGTGACATGAAAACTGAGGGCGGAGGTTGGACGGTATGTATTCTATTGTTTATAATTTTTTGTAATTGCTCTGTGTTGTCTGACCTGATATGATAAAGCAAGCAGATTAGCAGTATATGTCTTGGTGAATATATTTTTCATTTTCTAATAGTGAATTTCATACTAAGCGCTCATACAGTATTAACAAGTGGTCAACTGCAATCAGACTCACGTTTCTCTTTTAAAATCTAAGCAATTTATTAGCAGTTTCTATTTCTTTCTTCCCTGTTTAAAGTCAAATATGGTACATGTATATTTTGATTTACTCACTTTACAGTGTGATAACATACATATAGTTTCTTTACACTCCCCAGCAGAATTAAGCATAGTCTTTCTTCCATTTTTTGTCAAACCTCTCTCAAGAATGAAGATGCTGGCAAGCTGATAATGATTTATCTTCTTTTTTTAGATTTTTCATAAGCGAATCGATGGATCAGTGGATTTTTACCGGAACCTTTCGGAGTATGAAAACGGATTCGGGGAGATTAGCGGAGAGTTTTGGTTTGGTGCGTTTTTCATTTTTTTGAGGCTCTTATATTTGGTAATGAATGTATTTAGAGGTTTGAATTTATATAAATGAGATGTGTTTCATAATGTTTCTTTTATTTTACAAAATAATTAGATTGAAATATTTCATTTCCATTATATCAATATTTTGCCGTGAGCGTTTAATTACCACCTATAATAAGCCCGTTTTATCTGCTCAAACAATACAATATACTAATATTGCTTAATGTTGAAAGGTATTTTATAACATAATTTGATGAGCCGTATTGATAAAGACAAACGAATTATATATAAAGCATATACGTATTTTTTATGTAAATGATAATTTTGTACTTCAACAATACCTTAAGTATTGTGTAATGTGTTTGAAAACAATTGAGACTCGAGTCATATAACAAAAATCCCGGCTGATCGTGATTATTTAAACTTTCATGAGATTGGGGCAACTGTCTAAGACTGTGTGGTCGTTAGAGCGACTAAATGTTTTCGAATTATTGGGGTCTATGCATTTCTTTGCTACAGCAGATGAGGTGGTTTTGACCACTGGTGTTGCTTTAAACTTTTACAAAAAAATATTTCCTGTTTCGTGCGCAATATGACCAAAACTGTGTTAGTGCGTCGCAAAACCAAACAAATACGTTAGTTTGATATATCCTTGTAGGATTAAAGTATATAAAAGAGCTCGCTGAACAAGGTACAACGGAGCTTCGTCTTGATATGACTGATGCTCAGTATAATGCTGGAGATGAAACCTATCAAGACTTCCAGTTAACAGAAGGAAGTAATTACACTCTTAACATTGGGTCACGAACAACAACATCTGGAGGTGAGATACTTAAACTGAGTTAGATTATATTTTTTGTTATATTCTATGCAATCATCTATATGTTGTCATATTAAAAAGTATATCAGTCATTTTGTAATTAATTGAATTGCTCGCTTTTGATTGACTTTTCAATGGTCACTTCTAAAAATTGATATTTCTTGAAAAAAGAACATTCAGCTGGTTTGCTGAAAACGTATCTTTAGTTCAATTATAAGATTATATTTGCACCAGTCAGAATCAATTCGTGGTGATCCGAACATGTGCTGAGCCTGCTTGAGAAACGCCACCTAAAACATACAAGATTGACCTAGAATTATTGTCTTTGATCAGTAACTTATCTTTAAGTGATACGTAGACTTCAGTGTAAAAAGAAAGACAATAATAGTATAATAAGTCAGTGAAACTATGTCATATTATTCTTACCAATTTATAGAAATATGAAAATCGCGGTGACCAATACACATTGCTGTAGGGGTAACATTTGCATTTTAGATAAGTGGTCCTGAACATTCCAAAGAGCTAGTTGTAATGCTACTATAACGGTGTCGATTATAATTATTATTGTCTTTTATGCAGTGCCTGAGGACGGATTACTATATAACAATCACCACCCATTTTCGACTTTTGACCACAACAGAAAAGACTGTGCTGTATCAAGGCATGGAGCCTGGTGGTATGGAGCGTGTACTAACGTCAATCTAAATGGGTTATACGTGACGCCAGGCACGACGTGTGAATTAGTCGGTGCTAAACCGGGAGGTCATTGTGGACACAGGCACTATGGTTTTGCAGGCTTTTATGCATTGAGGACGTCCTCAATGATGATAAGGAGAAAGTAAATAACAATTGATCAAAAGAGAAGCAGATTCATAATCTTAATTAATTTTATATCATTCAGTCTGATTGCAGTTACAGGACAGTGTTACTAATGAGGATGGTTAGAAGGTTATTAAGTATCATGTGGCCGGGTAGAAACAAATGCAGATAAAATAGTGAATATAGATGTTTATCATTTTGTGTCACCTGCAATAGAGAAGCTGCCACATAAAGTGATCAATTATCCGTAGTATGTCCGTCCGTCTGTTCGATCGTCACAAAAATTACAATTTCATCCGAACTTTACAGAAATAATCGTACAAAGCCTATATTCGCATATCGTCAGATCGATAACATCTAAAAGTTCAGTGTTTTTGTCGAAGTTATGGTACTTTCATTTTTTTATTTTTTAAAGTTTGTCCAGATTGCCTCTCTTGTACTATCTTTTCTATGTGAATGAACTTGATATGAACTTCACACGTACTGCATATTAAATGTTGAATGGTTGTTTAGGTCTTTGATAAAAAGATCGTTTCGGCACGTTTATGATTTTTGTGTCGTCTGCTAAACACCAGCTACAGCATGCCACGTCTACATGGGGACCAACAGTTCAATACCCATTAAAACAAATGCATAATTTGCCATCATCAAGCAACATAGGTGGTCAGTGGACAAATGATCTTAAATCGCTCTCTTAGCTTTAACTCTCTAAATGTATGCTTGTTTGAAATAAAGCTTTATGTATATACCATGAAAACGTCTATATTATAAACAGTTTAATAAATTATTCCTCAGTCCATATACAGGCGAACGTATTTGTCTATTATAAACAAATAATATTATCATCGATTAATATAAGCACGGGGGAGGAACCGTGACACGGATGATGGAGTTCTTGTGATAACTTGTCACGAGTTGGGTTTTTTTGTAAATGACTGAGATGTCTTCGGAAAACTTTGGTATATACCTAAGCAATACTCGTCAAAATGGAAATGTTTACCTTAAAAATAGAGTTTGAGGTGCTAAATTAAACTTTGATGATAAAGCTTGCCCTGCTAATTGTATTTTGTGTCAGAAAAACACTTTATAGTCCATTTTCCATAACCTATTATTTAAAATCGGGTAGTTTTAAATAAAATTTCCAAATTATTACTCAATATATAAAAGGAAAACATATCACCCCCCCCCCCGGGCGGGGCTAATTTTAAAGCTAGATGCAAACTTTGAAGAACTTTGGTAGAGTACATTTAAATGATATCATTTACCAAATATCAAAACTCTAGGCCTTGAACCTTCAGACAAGAAGCTATTTTAAGTTTTTTCTATATGTACATATAGTGAAAATCAATGACCTCCGGGGCGGAGCCGATTTTGACCCCAGGGCTATAATTTGAATAATCTCGGTAAAGGTCTACCAGACAATGCCTTATGCAAAATATCTAAGCTCTAGGCCTTTTGGGTCTTTACAAGAAGATGTTTTCAATTTATTCTTATAATTCCCTTTGTTTGGTTGCGATGGCAACAAGATATCTGCATGGAATAAACTTTTTGAACAATTTTGGAAGCCCTTAACTCAAGGATCAATCCTGCCAACTTTGGTTGAAATTTGACTGGTTGTTTTTCACAAGAAGATTTTTTAAAGTCACTATATAATATATATAACACACAACATCCACACATACATACAAACACCCATGTAAATCGCTATATGCCACCGCATCTCAGATGCTGCGGTGACATAAAAACGCTGAACATGCCGTAACTTAATGCACGAAATACTGGCAGTAACAAACGCTATCAGAAGAACTATTGGACATCTATAGGGTAATCAAAGAATTCTAGGACGATTGAAAAATCAGGCATAATAAGTTTGTCATTTTTGATAATTTGATAACACCCCCCCCCCTTCCTTCGAAGAAGTAACCTTTATACGTAAAGCTTAATTAAAAATTCTTGAATGTTAAAAAAACAACAATTGAATTAATTTATTACAATTAGCGTATACAAATGGTCATATTTGCAATGGAAGCTTAGTGAAAAATAGATAAATACAGAATCCCTAAAGACAAGGCTTGTTTGTTTGTTTGTTTGTTTGGATTTTTACGGCACGTCAACACATAACTGGCCATATCGTGCCGAATGCTATAATAGGCTTAAAATGTTATGTAGACAATAGAAATGGGCCAATTAGATCCTAGAATACTAGTCTATCTCTTTTCAATTTTCAATTTCTATTACGGGTCATTGAAAAATCATGACATTCAAGAAGAAAATGCTTGACAGTAAAATTTTCATTACAACCTACACATAAAGGGGCATTGTAATTTGTGAGGAGATAGGAGTGAGTAATTTTAGTGTGTCCAATTCGGCATCGAAGAAGAACTGTTTGATCACGGCGGTTTGACAGATTTAGAGATGTTGATACATCAAGAGATGGGTTTATGTCGTGAAGTTTATTAAAAACGGCATTGTCCCAATTTGCTTTCCATTCAGATGATACGAGTTTATTTATAGCCGGTCTAAAATCACAAGCAGGTAATAATAAGTCAGTTTTTTGAAAATTTAATGATTGTTTAGCTTAATTAACTACTTTTTTATTTCCTCGTATACCTACATGACTTGGAATCCAATATAATTTAACATTTTTTGTTTTTAGTATATCATGAAATCGTAAAAGAAGTTTCTTTATCATCATATTGTCAGATTTTTTATTTTTAATAGATATTAAAACTGAAAGAGAGTCAGAAAATATCACGAATTTATCGTGGTACATGCTGTGCTATGTATGACAATGCTAAATCGATGGCTTTTGCTTCAGCAGTAAAAATTGATGCATTATCTGGTAACCTCATACTAGATGTAAAATTGTTTTCAAACACAGCCGAACCTACTTTGCAACCTTCTTTTGAACCGTCCGTATAAATATGTATGAAATCCTATGTTCTTGCTTAATTGCTAGAAACTTCTCTTTGATCTATTCAGGTGAATTTGATGACTTTTATATATTTGAAAGGTTAATATTTATTTTCGGGGAAGTATAAGTCCAAGGTGGAACATCCTCATCGTCATTTTGAAGGATACTGTCTGAATTAATTTTAAGTTTATCTAAATCATCTTTTAAACGAAGGCCTTTGACAGATTTAGAGATGTTGATACATCAAGAGATGGGTTTATGTCGTGAAGTTTATTAAAAACGGCATTGTCCCAATTTGCTTTCCATTCAGATGATACGAGTTTATTTATAGCCGGTCTAAAATCACAAGCAGGTAATAATAAGTCAGTTTTTAACAAATTTTTCAGTATAACTTGGCTTGAATATAATAGTTTTAGCTGGATTTTTCTATTAGATGAAATTCTAGTTGCATATTGAAGTGATAGGTTTTTCTCGACGAAGATGAAGCGATGGTTCCCCAGCTTCCGCATATAGACTTTCTACAGGTGAAGTGCGAAAAGCACCTAAAGCAACCTTCCTTTGAACCGTCCGTATAAACATGTATAAAATTTTCATTTTCTTCCTTAATTGGTAGAAACTTCTCTTTGAAATGTTCATGCGAATTTGATGTCTTTTTGATATTTGAAAGGTTAATATTTATTTCAGGGGAATTATAAGTCCAAGATGGAGCATCCTCATCGTCATTTTGAAGGATACTGACAGGATTAATTTTAAGTTTATCTAAATCATCTTTTAAACGAAGGCCTAATGGTTTAATTTCCTTTGGTTTGTTAACAAATTTTTCAATATAATTTGGTTTGAAAATAATATTTTTGGCTGGATTTTTGCTATTTGATGAAATTCTAGTTGCATATTGAAGTGATAGCTTTTTTCGACGAAGATGAAGCGATGGTTCCCAAGGTTCCGCATATAGACGTTCTACAGGTTAGGTGCGAAATGCACCTAAAGCTAAGCGTAAACCCTGGTGATGTATGGTATCTAGCATTTGAAGCAGATCCATATACAACAGAACCATTATCTAATTTTGATCGGATAAGACTTCTGTATAATTTCAGTAATGTGGAAGAATTTAATCCCCAATTTGTACTTGATAAAACCGTAAGTAAATTTAAATCTTTAAGGCATTTAGTTTTCAAATGTTTAATATGTGGTATAAAAGAAAGTTTTTTTTATCAAATATAATTCCTAGAAACTTAGCTTCATCAACTACTGGAATTTTAGAACCAGATATGTAAAGTTAAGGGTCATTATGTTGTTTCCGCTATCGACAAATATGAACACATTGAGTTTTTGACTTTGAAAATTTAAAACTATTTTCTATTGCCCACTTTTGAATTTTATCTAAATTTTGTTGAAGTTGCCTTTCAATTGTTCTCATTCTTTTCGATCGATAGCAGATTAGAAAATCGTCTACATATAGAGAACAGTCTATGCCTGGTGTAAGAGCGCTAGCAATTTTGTTTATTTTAAGGCCAAAAAGTGTAACAGAAAGTATGCTTCCTTGAGGAACACCTTGTTCTTGTTGGTGGTCCTGAGAAAAAGTTGAACCAAGTCTTACTTTAAAGTGCCTATCGTTTAAAAATCCAGAAATGAAAAGAGGTAGTCTGCCATTAAGTCCAGCATCCTTTAGATCTTTTACGATACCATATTTCCAAGTAGTATCGTAAAAAAAATTCTGGAAACAAAGTGATCCCTCGGAAGCATTAATCACAACAAAATTACATAAGAAGTGCAGACTCGGTTTGATTCAGTCTGTGCGTTAGCCTTCTCAAGATCAAAGAAAATTGATACCAGGTTTTGTTTATTTACAAAGGCTTCTCTAATAAAATTCTCAAGTCGTACAAGATGATTCTTTGTATTTCGTTGTTTACGAAAACCTGACTGAAAATTAGTGATAATTCCATTATTTTCTAGATACCAAGCTAACCGGTTATTTATCATACTCTCGAATGTTTTGCAGAGGCAACTTGTACGTGAAATTGGACGATAATTTGTAGGGCCAGTTGAATCTTTTCCAGGTTTAGGGATAGGAATAACCAACGCAATTTTCCAAGTGTTGGGAAATTCACCAGATACCCAAATTTTGTTAAAAGTTTCAAGAAGCAAGTCTAGGGATTGGGGTGGTAAATGTTTAGGAAACTGGTAGTAAATGTCGTCTGGGCCTGCAGCACAACCTTTTGCAGTTTTGATTGAATAACTTAAGTCATCGATAAAAAAAGGGAATTATAGTCTTCGTCGTTTGTTGAAGTAAAATTAATATGCTTTTTCTCAGCTTTACATTTATGTTGTTGAAATTTATTTGAATAATTGCTGGAAGAAGAGTTCTTTTCAAAAGTTTTAGCCAAAGTTTCTGCAATATCCGTTTTTGTTTTGGCATATTGGCCATCACCAGTTTTTAAGTGGACAGTTGGACTCTTTCTATACTTACCACTTATATTTCGTACTGCATCCCAGACTTTCCTAGTAGGAGGTTTTGAATTAATATTTGAAACATAAGATTGCCATGATTGGCGTTTAGATTGACGCACTGATCTTCTAGCTTTGGCTCTAAATATTCTATAATTTTCAAGGTTTTCTGTTGTAGGGCTATGTTCAAACTTTTTAAGTGAAGCTTTACGTATACGAACGGCTTTTTTACATTCATCGTTAAACCATGGTTTTTTGATTTTGTTACTTTTATTAATTTTTTAATGGAATAATTTTGCAGGCAATCGTATGTAATGCTGAAGAGAACGTTTTAGCTTTATCATCAGAGGTGAAATCAAATTCATTTTTTGTTAGATCAATAGAACAGAGCCTAGTAAATGTTTCCCAATCTACTTTCTTAAATTT